TTTTTTTCTTATTAAAATTTAATCTCAACTTTTAAGTTGCAGTTAACAGATTTTTCACCTCATGCTCAACCAGCCCTTGCCAAACTTCTTGCATGAGTGTACTTAACAGTTAGCTTATAAACAGGAGCAAGGTAAACTGTTTACAAAAAAATGTAACTCAGATAATTCTGATTTCGGATAGTACAAAGTATTTTTACAACACATTCTGTTCAACAAGTTCGTAATTTTACAAACAAATATACGAGCTGATGAAATTCTAGAATCTATGAACCTTATCTCAAGATTTTCTCAAATAACCCTCATCTCCACACGAGCACTTCCCGTCCTTGAAATGGTGAAAGCCCTCGGCATCCCTAACAGAAATCTCCCTTCTAACAACCTTGGATATAAATTTCACTGTATAATGACAGCTGTCACACATGTAAAGATTTTTCGTCACCCGAATAGGCATCCCTGGGGAAGTGCTTATGAGCCCAAAAGCAACAGCCAGCCTCTCACTGTGCCCACAAAAGACTTCAGCTTTAGAGGTCTCCAACCCATTCGTAAATGAACTTCTATCTGGATAATCATCATCATTATGAGGCGCCATCTTCATTTTCTCGTAAAATCCCACCAATACAGAATTTATTTCCTTTATCCGAGGGTGAAAATTATTGCCACTAAGAAACGCATGGACTTCCCCTTTCACTTCGACCCAACTGCACGCAGGGTCAATAGTTAGACCCATTTCTCTCATTCTTTGTCTCAATTTAGCAAGCTCGTCCCATTTCCCACATTCCGAGTATAAATCGCACAGAAAAATATAATACATATGGGACTTTTTATCCATCTCGAAAATATTCATAGCTGCTGCCTCCCCTAAGTCGACCCGTCTGTGAATTCTACATGCATTTAACAAGGCTCCCCATATAGCTGGATCAGGCCTCACAGGCATCTTCTCAATAAACTCATATGCCTCGTCCAGTTTTCCCGCACGGCCCAATAAATCGACCACACAAGTATAGTGCTTTAAACTAGGAACTATAGAATATCTCTTTTCCATACTATTAAAATACTGCAAACCCTCAGTTACCATCCCCGATCGACTGCAGGCACACAAAAGAGCTATAAACGTGACATCGTCCGGCATCACTTCATCCGAATCGACCATTTTATCAAATAAATCCACTGCAAGTGGGCCCCGACCCCTCCGCGCGTGGCCCATCAGCATAATATTCCAAGAAGAAACATCTCTCATCTGCGAACTAAACTGATTCCTTGCGAGCTCCATCTTCCCACACCTCACGTACATATCGAGAATCGCATTCGGTAAAAACCCATCAAACCCTAATGATCCTTTTCTTAGCACGTGTGCATGGATTTCTTTTCCACGAACCAATGCCCCTATACGGGCGCATGCCGAAAGAACGGAGATAAATGTGACATCATTAGGGTTTAGACCAAGCTTCATCTGCCGAAAGTAAATCAAAGCTTCAATGTTTCGGTTATTGATACGGAGCCCGAGAATAATCGATGTCCAGGATATCACGTCTTTGTTGGGAATTCGATGGAAGACCTCTAAAGCCTTATCTACACATTTACACTTGGAATAGAAGTCTATAAGGACACTAGCAACCATTAGATTTTCCACAAGCCCAGTCCTTTTGGCCAGCTCGTGAAGCCTTACGCCCATCTCCAAATTACCAACAGATGTACACGCGGACAATACTCCGACAATTGCGATCTCATCAGGGGCAATCCCTTTTGATTCCATCTTTTCATAAGTCTCGATAGCTTTTTCAGCAAGCCCGTTATTGTTGTAGCCCGAAATCATCGAGGTCCAAGAAAGCACGTCCTTACATTCAATTCTATCGAAAATCATTTCTGCAACACCCAAATTCCCAAAACATGAATACATCTGAATCAAAGAGTTACCTACAGAAGCCTCGGTCCAGCACTCCGTCTTTGCCACGTATCCATGAACCGCCTGCCCGAGCCTCTCATCACCAAAAGTTTGGCAACCAGAAATTACGCTTGTCAAGGTCATTAAATTCGGATGAAAACAACATTTCTCCCTCATGGATAAGAACAAAAGCAGCCCATCCAAACACTCCCCATTCTCGAAATACCCAGAGATCATAGCATTCCACGAGATTCTATCTCTCTTAGGCATTCTGTCGAACACGTCCTTTGCCCCCCACAAATCCCCGCACTTCACATACATAGTTATCAAAGCATTGGAAACATCGGTATCAGATTCGTACCCAAACCGCAACACGTGGGAATGAATCTCCCGACCTCTTCTCCAATCACCCAAACCACCACAAGCTCTCAACACACATGGGAAAGTGTACACGTCGGGTCTAATTCCGACTTCACCGAGCCACAACATACGTTCGTACAGCTCGATTGCCTCGTCTAGAAACCCCTTTTTGGCATAGCCACCAATCAAGACGTTCCAGGAAAACAAATTCCTTTCCTGCATTTTGCCGAACACGTACCAGGCATCGGTTAGGTTGCCCAACCGAATGAACATGCTCAAGAGCGCATTTCCCAGCCTCAGGCTCAGATGCGTGGTCTCCGTTTTCGACACCAAAGAGTAAACCAACAGCCCTTCTTCAGACGCTCGCTTGTTTTCGCACAGCATAAGTAAAGACACGAAGGTTTCTTCTTCGATGTCATCTTGTGGGTCTTTAGAAACGGCGGCGGTTAGGAAATTTATGGCTTGATTTAGTTCGCTCTGAGCGCACAGCTGAGTCAGGTACGAGTTGGGATCGGCGTTGGCGGCTGAGGGAGTGGTTGAGCTTGAGAGAGGTTTTTGGTGGATTTTTTTCAGGGAGAACTGATTTTTCATGATTTGAGCGAAATTCTGGGGTTTAAGATTAAGGGATTTGGCAAGTTGGTGGTTTTGGTGGTCGGAGCTTATGGGAAATTGTGGTGTTTTTGCGGAGACGGCCATTTTTTTTGCTGAAGAAGCATGGCCAGAGGATGAGGAAGAGGGTTTTAGCTGAGGTTTTATCCGTTTTAACCAGTTATTTTCTGTCTTAGAGGCATTTTTGGATAACTAGTTAACGTTGTTAAAGGCTCAAAAACTAATAACTGTTATGAATTATTTGTTATAAAATAATATACGTGAATGACTATTTTGCCCCCGATGTAATTGTATTATTACGGTTGTGCCATCAGAAGTTTCCTATAAATAGGAGCTTCAGTTATAATGAAAATTGTACCTAAGAGAAATATTTTCTCTATTATCTCTCTTTCTCTCTAGTTTTATAACACGTTATCAGCACGAGTCTCTACCCTCTAGAGCTCGATTTGTAATATAACGAGAGTATGCTCTACAGACGATCTTCTGTACCAGAAATCGAATTATTACAAAACGATTATTTCCTTCAACCAATTTGAAGCCATAAACTCTTAATTTTCCATTTTCTACCATTGGTCATTAGCTACCCAAAAACAACATGAAATGATAAAATACTCCCACCGTTTCAAACCCCAATATCAACCACAAAATATAAAAATATAAGTTTGCCATGACACTCTCCACTCTCCTCAAAGCTCCAAAAGCGTAATTTGTAATCAGCCAAATCTCATTCCAATTCGCCAAGTAGCGATGATCCGCCTTTTGTGTGGTGTAACAGCACGTAGC